TGTCCAAGGTATCTACCTCCTCATTGGCAGAGACAACAAGTGGGAGCCATTGGCTCCCGCTGCTGTCAATCACAGCCAGTCAGCCAATGAGGAGAGAGGGGCCAAGCTGCGGCTTAGTGTGTGACTGGAAACACAGCAGTGGGTGCCCCCATAACAAGCTGCTTGCTGTGGGGTCACCCAACGGAAAGGAGGAGGAGCCAGGAGAGCCTGCAGGGGACCCAAGAGGAGAAGGATCCGAGCTTGCTCTATGCAAATCCACTGCACATAGCAGGTAAGTATAGACATGGTTGTTATTTTACAAAAAGAAAGAAAAAAAAAACAAAAACACAACATTCAGAATCACTTTAAGGCTCCTCCAAATGCATCATTACTGCCATCTCTCATTGGCAACAAATGCCCTAGAAGCATAGTAAGCACACGCAGTGTCTTATGACCTTTTCGCAGTACGAGGAACATTAAGGGGGATTAATACCTGCATTTATTACAGCAGGTCACGTAAGCTCCATTTACAAGCTGACAAGATATAAAGTGTGTGCAATCATATACAATCTAATATAACTTTTGGCATTCCAAAGAAGAAAAAAAAAAAAAAAAAAAAAAAAAAATTCTGGTTACGTTTTAATCCTGCAGCTATTATACACCTGGTTACATTTTAATCCTGCAGTCAATTAGCCTATGTGTCTAAAACAGTAAAGACAGCACCAAACTGCCCCCCCCCCATATTTTTTTGTTCTTATAAGACAAATACATTACTTGCCAGCACAGTACCTAAGTGGTTAGCACTTCCATCTTGCAGCACTAGGGTCGTTGGTTCAAATCCCAACTACGGCACTACCTAACTGGAATTTGCATGTTCTCCCTGTGCCTGCTTGGGTTTCTGCCATCATTCCAAAAGACATGCTGGTAGGTTATTTGGCTCCTGTCTAAATTGTCCCTAGTATATGTATATATGAGCTAGGGTCCTTAGATTGCAAGCTCCCTGGGGCAGGGACTGATGTGATTGTGTAATAAATATGTAAATCGCTGCGTAAACCGATGGCGCTATACAAAGTACCTGTAATAAAAAAATTACTGGCTACTTAAGAGTGCATGCTAGGTTCTAGGCTAGACTTATCTAGCTCAGGAATTTAAAATTATTTTGCCCACCCCCATAACTGGGTTTTGACAATATATCATAGTTCCTGTAACAAAGTGTACACATCGCTAAACATATATAAGCATTGCTAGGATTTGGCAATGTAAGACCTTTTGTGTCAAACACAAGCCATCTGACAACACACACTTATGCACATGACCCATTAGTGGTCCCACGAAGACTGGTTAGAGACCTGTCACAGCAGTTTATAATATATGCTCCAATCACCACAAGGTATCTATTATACAGAAAGCTAAGCGCATGGATCCAGTGTGCATTGGGTATCAAATGCAGGAAGGTATCTTGTACACAGTCACTTAGAATAGTAAGACTAAAAGGCACTTCAGAGACCCTCCTACTGCAAGAGGGAATTAATATGGTTCATAAAAGCCTCCCGGGCATCAATCTCAGAGGGTAGAGCAAACCAGTGCAAAATCCAGACCCAGGCATGAGTTCTTCTAGGACTAGTCCACTTTTAGCACATCAGAGTTCACTTTAAGCAGGTACAGGCTGTCATCTCTCAGGAAGCTATAGTCACAAAAACAAGTCATTAACAAGTACATTTGCAATGCAGTGATTTCATTTACAAATTGGCAAATTCCAATACAAAAATTGCAAGCAGGTATGCTTCGAAAAACTAGTTATGCTTTTATAACTGGAATAAAAACATAAAAAGGGGGGGGGGGAAAAAAAAAAAAAAAAAGGAAAAAAAAAAAAAGGAAGAAGGGGTGTCACTGTAAAGAAAAGATTGACCCATCCCACAGCCCGCTCTGTTCATGTTTGCTCCGTTGAATAGCAAAGCTTGCTGAATGCTCTTCAGCATCCAAACACTTCCAGAACTACCAGACACCTTAGTTCTCCTCTCTGCCATTTTATTCCTTCTGCAAGCCCCAACATCGCTACAGGACACAATTCTGAATTAGAGACTGGTGGACTGAACAACAGAGCTCAGTGGGGAGCAAGCATCTGAAACGACTAGAATTTTTTCAGATGCCAAAAAGTCTTCATGCACTGTAGCTCTTCACCCTTGATGCTGATCTTTACTGTCTTGGAGGGACAGGTAAATATTAAAGTGGTTGTAAAGGCTGAAAGTGTACCTTCCTGTATTCTATGCATGAAAGTAAAAAACCTTCAATGTGCAGCTCTCTCCTCAGTTCCCCCTTAGAGACTTACCCGAGTCTGATCTCGGCCCAGCGATGTGTACAAGAGCCTTGGCTCTCCTGGGTCTCTCTCTCCTCACTGACTGAGACACATTGGCTCCCGCTGCTGTCAATCACAGCCAGTAAGGAGGGAGTAGGACCGAACACTCTGTACGTCTTGTGGACATACAGGGTCACAGCTCCCCCCCCCCACCTGTTACTACCCCCCAGACCATCACAATCCCACTGCCACCAGAGGGCTGCGCCCCCCATTGAGGTTGCGCCCAAGTGCCGGGCAGCCAGATGTCCTGCTGTGGATTCACCACATGCAGGTCACCCTGTCGCTGCACAACCCTCCCTCACCTGTCTCCGCGCTCCACGTGCGGGGCTGGTGCACAGGGGACGAGGCCTGTAGTCAGGGTAACTCAAAGCCAAGTCTCAGATTACATGGACAACAGGAATGTGCCCCGCGGAGGAAATAAAATGCTGGAGTGAGGCCTGGGTACCAGACGTCCCCCTGCTCGATTGCCATGCTGTGAGGTTCTGTGCTGTGGCCAGACCCCTACAGTCCCCTCCCTTACCAGGACTGATGAACCAAGAAAGACCCCTGCCTGACCTACCTCTGCTACTGGCACCCAGCTCTTCACTGCTGGCTGGTGAGTTGTTTAACCCCCACTGTGCCAGAGCTCTGCCACCGTTGTCCTGTGTGCCGGATTAACCTGTTCTGCCCAGACCCTGCCCTGGATTAACCCTGTTCTGCCCAGACCCTCTGCCCTGGACCCCTGCTTCATTAGACTCTTGCCTGCATCCTACATGGACTGTGTGGTGACACATTACTGCCGGTGAACTATTTAATTTTACTGTAGCATATTACCCCTACTGTGTCCTCCTGTTCCCCAACAAACACCCGCAAGTAGGGTTTCGTGTGATCTGCCTCGGTGTGCTCTCTCTCGCAACTCCTAGTTCATTACACCTTTCCTTGTCCCGCTCTCTCCAATTAACATGCAATTAAAAGGTTTCATTCAAATCATTCTGTTTTACAAAAATACTTCTATCTGGCTGCTCTGATTTTGGTGGGAGGGGCCAACAGGCTCCTGTAAATGTCACAGCACACTCCTGGAGAAAGAACACATACCCGGGATCCCTTTAGATGTGCATTCTCCTCTCTACTAGCTACTGTGTTCTTTGCACTATGCTGACTAGTTGCTTGAGCATGCATGCCTAAAGAGATCCCAGGGATGTGTTCTTTTGTATAATGCTCTGGAGATTTATGAAGTTATATTGCAATATATCATTCTGGGGTGGGAATCTACTACTTTAAAGCAGTATTAAACCCAACAACAAAAATGTTATATATTGCAGCTTACCAATTCATAGATGTGGTGGCTGCATTAAATCTTTTTAAGACTTTCCACCAGGTCATCCAGCTGGTAATACATTTCCTGTATTAGGATGTCTGGAGACATCTTTGAACAGCAATATTGTCAGTATGGGGAGGAAGGCACTATTCGATGCACTAGAAGACTTGACTAACAAATTAAACTCCAACGAACATTTTTAGTAGTTACAGCTATTGTAAGCACCAGTCAGTGTTAAATGATTAATTTCAACACCAATTGAAGCACGGCTTGGTTTGTTAAATGAGTTTGAAATTAGAAGGCTTAAACTGGCCATAGAAGGATTTTTTTTTTTTTTTTTTTAAACTTTAAAATGAAAAAGTCAGGAGAGAAAAAAAAATAAAAAAATAAAAAAAAGTGAACACAATTGAGGTGGATGGGGGAATCCTACACCACTGTATTCGCCACTGTCAGAATATACTGATCAGTGCTGAAGCCAATTGGATGCACGCAATAATTGAGTGAAATTTTCTAAGTCTTGTACAAAAGTAACCGATTGTTAAAGCCTACTTCTCTGGAGCGGGGACAGCCATTGATTGATCATAATTCAGATGGTCCCTGCTGAACTAGCCAAATTTCTATCTATGGCCAGCTCTACCAGCCGGATCACATAAACAAGCCTAAAAAGGTACACCAATACAGCAACCGCATCTAAGAACTGGTAGGCTTCAAGATATAAATTTTTTGTTTTTGACTTGATTACTATTTAAAGCAGTAATAAACATAATGACAATATTATCAAAATTATGAATAGTAATAAAAACTTCACTTCACTATTAATACACATTACCCTACAAAATGACCACCATCTCAAGAAACAAGCATTCCTTTCCTGTGCACATTAATCAGATTTCGCAGGGAGTTCAGTGGAACCTTGTCTGCAGAACTGGTAAATGAAACTCAAGCATGTACCTATCTTACATTACATAGGACTACTGTACTGACCAAAAAGTGTCACTCACCTATAGAAGAGAACATTCAAAGGGATGGTGCTAAAGTGCCAGAGGGCATGGGCATCCAGCACCCACAAGACAGGTGGGAAATCGAGCAGCTCCAGCAAAGCTAGGCTCTGTAGTAGGACCACCACCAAAACACACTTCCACAAGTATGGCTGATGGGAGCGTCTCTTCAAACACCATGCCAACCACCATACCAGATTAACCATACCTGGTGCAAGAGAACAGAAACAAAAAAAAAAAAAAAATAATAATAATAATAATAATAATAATGTCAGAGATGGGAGGACAAAACAAAAAGGCAAGGGAGAAGGTAATGCTATCAAGAGGACTTACCAAAGCTGGCATTTGCTAGCATGTTGTAGCTGTAGTCAAAGCGTCCCAGGGTTAGGTAAGACACATGGCATGCAAAGAGTACCACCAGGACAGCACCAAAAGCAGTAGCAAAAGAAGGATATCGAAGACCCAAAGTCCTAAATTGTAATAAATATACTGAAGGTCAGCACAACATAATATGCGTTCATAATTTATAAAAAGAGGATAATGATAAAAATAATGAAAGAGAAAGTGAAGGGAGGCCATCAACAACAAGGTCGAGAGAAGTGCGCCAGCAATAAATGGAGGCACAGGGAGAACACAGGCAACAGCAGAGAGGAGGGGAGCAAGCAGGCAACAGCAGAGAGGAAGGGAGCCGGAAGTGAGGAGAAGGTAACGACAGAGGCAAGGCGCAGGCCTTCAGCGGCACCGGAGGCAAGGGGAAGATGCCGGTGATGCCAAGGCAAGGGGAAGATGCCAGCGGTAAGGGCAGGATGCCAGTAGGACACTGTAGGTGAGGGGAGAGTGCTGGCAATACTGGGAGGTGAGGAAAAGAAACAGTGACACTGGAGGTGAGGGGAGAGATTCTGAAAATATGACAAGGAAGGAGGCCTGCTATAGGGTGTATCTGCAAAATGGGGGTGGCTGGAGCATCTGCAGTATGAAAAATAAATAAAAATATGGAGGGAGTGCCTAGAGCAGGGCAGGCTAGGGAAATCACTTACAATAGGGGTGGCAAAGATGGGTGCCTACAGTAGAGGAGGCAACAGAGAGCTCCCGATTGAGCAATGAGTGTGTTTTTGCAATATTAAAAGTGAAATGAGACTGCTTACAGTCCTGCACAGATAAGATTTCATTTTTTTTCCCTACATTTATAAAATGTCAAATATATTACCCATTTAAGATTTTCTCCTCCTCTTCACTCACCTCATACAGCACAGGTAGATAGAGTGCAGAATGACTGCCGAGGCACAGAAGTAGTCCATTTTCTGCGGGGACAGACAGTGAATGTGGCAGGATGCAGACTGACAGAACACTGCACACATGCAATGCACACACAAGTGCAAGCAATCCATGTCCTTCAACTCATTACCTCAGTAATCGCAGTGTCTCTCGTGTGAAAAATTGTAGACCAGAACCAGGCATTTATGGAGACCTGAATACAGTCAAAATTAGGTTAATCCATATAAAACAGAAGATTCCAAACACATACTTACAGACAAGTTTTTTTCATACCATGGCAAAAGTGAGGCAGGTGTGGTACATAGGGCAGGAGGCAGGAACAGAGGCGCGGTAACGCTGTAGCATCATTAGGTTGGCAAGGCCATTGAGAAAAGAGGCCAAGGCAGATGCTGGTTCCTGAAAGAACAGGAATCTGGAAAATGGCCACTGTAAAACAGGAAAAAAAAAAAAAAAAAAGTTAAGGTAAGGAACAATTTGTCTATGATCTATCCACATAAAAGTTTAAAGTGGTTGTGAAGGCTAAAGTTTTTTTACCTCATGAATTCTATGCATGAAGGTAAAAAAAAAACCTTCTGCGTGCAGCGTCTCCCCCAGCTCCCTCAATACCTACCTTAGCCTCATCGCGATCCAGCGATTTGAAAGACAACGGAGGTTGTCCTGGGACTCTGGCAGAGACAATGAGGAGGCAGTGAGGTGTTAATCACAGCCAGTCAGCCAATGGAGGAGAGAGAGGGGGCAGAGCAAAGCCATGGCTCAGTGTGTGAATGGATACATGGAGCAGCGGGTACCCCCATAGGAAGCAGCTTGCTGTGGGGGCACTAGCAGAAAGGAGGAGCCTGCAATGTATACTTATCCAGCAATGTGAATGACAATCTCAGTTGTAATGGGACTCTGCATCTTTATTGGCTGAGACAATGAGGAGGCAGTGAGGTGTTAATCACAGTCAGCCAATGAGGAGAGAGGGGGTGGGGCCAAGCCACGGCTCCATGTGTGAATGGACACATGGAGCAGCAGGAACCCCCATAGGAAGCTGCTTATTGTGTGGGGGCACCTAACAGAAAGGAGGAGCCAGGAGAGCCTGCGGTGGACCCAAGAAGAGGAGGATCCAAGTTGCTTTGTGCAAAACCACTGTACACAGCAGATAAGTATAGACATGTTTTTTTATTTTACAAAAAAAAAAAAAAAAAATTTTAACCTTTAGAAACACTTAACTTTGCAAACTGAGAAATATATTGTAAAATTTTCATTCTAAAAAACTGATCAGGAGGCCAAACATTTAAACTTCCAGGCTTTATCTCATGTATAACATGCTGCAAAGAATCTTGACATATTGCGAGCTAAACTAAAATATAAACGGAGTGAAAAGCTGGTATTTTAATACGACCCATTAATATATTTTAACACTTACCTTGCCATGAAATTGGGGAACAGAATATCCTTCTTTAACATAAAGGGAAACTGTGTCCCACATACACTGGTAACGACAGTCATCCAAGCATACCCAGCCTGGTGAAAGAAAAGCCAGATGTAAAAACAGGAGTATAAGTAAACATTCCATTGGATCCATCTCAGCTGCTTATCATTCATGTATCTCTTCACACATTTGTAAATACTTCGCATGAGAAAAATATGGAGGAAGCTGCTGACTTTTCATGTTGACGGGACTCTGATGTCGATTTACTAAAACTGCAAAAGCTTGTGCATAGGGAAAGTTATGAGCAAAATATGAACTATGAGAGATTTTGGCTCTAGTTTAGGTATCCGCCCAGACGATCCCTCCCTAAACGGGGCATTGGTCCTTGACTTCAAAGACACCCCCTGTTGGGGGAACTACAAAATGGGCTGTCAGGCCTAAGAGAGTGAAGTTGAATTCTCCCTTTTAACATCAGAACCAACCTGGGAGACGTGCCCTTTTGCTTTGAAACTTGATCTGCAAACCCAAGGCTGATTGGCAAGTACTTTAACCCTTTAACCTCCTGTTACCTCTTTGCTGTGCTGTTCTCTGTATATTTATATATTGGTTACATCTTTTTTTTCTGTAAATATTTGTGTTTGTTTAACCCTCTGTATAAACAGTCTGCGGTGACAGTGTTATACAGATGATTACCTCAACCATTATAGTGTTATTGCTGAGATTGCCGAGTTTCCTCTTTCTCTGTACAAAAAGGAGGTGGCAGTGTGAAGGGTTAATTTCAAAATTAACTTGGCCCAGTAACAATCAGTCCCAGTACATCGATTGTGGTCCAATTAGCTGGAAAACGGTTGTGCAGGGTGCAGCTGGGCGTGACATTGTTACACATGTGACATCGCGGTTTTAGATTGGCTAGTCCTTCGGTCACGAGTTCAGTGAGGCGGTCAGGGGTCTGACGCCTCGTTCGTCACACCTCCCAAGAAAAAGTTTTAAAAAAAAAAAAAACACACACGTTCTAGCAGTACACACCAAACTGAGCATGTGCAGTGTTCCTGAGGCTGCAGTCCATCAGGAGATGAAATGGGGAACGTGAAAGAGGAGGATCAGAGAAGACAGGACCACACAACCTTTTTACACAATGCAATACGTTCCACAGTGAGTATAACAATCATGCTTTACTGCATATACAGACTGATTTTACTGTTGTGGGTTTAGTAATACTTTAATTGAACAAGCTGAAGTTAGAAGCTGATTGGCTACCACGCACGGCTGCACCAGATTGTGTGCTCCAGCTTAGTAAATCAATCTCTGTGATTGGGGGGGGCCTCTAATGTCATGTATAGGGGGGCCGCTTATGAGATGGGAAGACGAATGAGATTGGGGGGGGGACTTTTGATGTTAATTTCATTAAGGCTGTTGAGCGCTCAGTTTTCCCATTGATAAACAATTACAAATGTTACAATTTCAACTGAGGTGTCTCAAGATTACGCACACTTTCTGATCACTGTATATGTCACACCCTAAATACGGATGTAACAGGTTCTGCATTGTTCCTTGATCCCCCCCTCCCACACAACAGCGGGCAGGGGATCCTCTCCTGCACCAACACATCCATGCAAGGCTCCTCTCACAGCCTCATCAGTCATTTACAAATGAACTACAAGTACCATCTGTCATTGCAGCAGACAACTTGTAGTTCCCAATGAACTATGAGGGCGCTGATGAGCTTTCTTGTAGTTCATGGATTCTTCCTGCTCTCCAGTAACTGTCTGCCCACACAGGAGGTCAGGGCAGAGAGCTATACCAAGTCTGCAGAAGCCTGCTGGAGCTGGGTGCAATGCTCTACTTCTGCCTTAGAAAAAAAAAAAAATTCACTAAGTGAACTTATCCATGAAAAAAATGTTGAGAAACTTCTCAAACTCTGTAGGCAGCTGCTGGATAGAAGGGTCCTTCTGCTGTCCCATAGTGGTGACCTGCTTTGAAATGAACCCAACACTGAGACACCAGCAGTTACATGAGCTTTAGTTTAAAGGGGAAAAGCCCTGCAATGACAGTTTAGTTCACACAATAGCAACATTGGCAAAGCTGACACTATACAGAGATACAAGCCATACAAAATGGGTAACAATACAGAAAGACAACGCATGCATACTAGCACATTATGCCATTACCTTGCAGGAGGAGGTTTTTTTTTTTGTGGCAGACTTAACTACCGCTTTAAACCCAAACATTTATTATATTGCAGCTTACCAATTCTTAGACATGATAGCTGCATTAGTTTTCTTTTTTTAGGCTCTCTTTCCTTTATGGTCATCTGGTGATCCAGTCAGCAGGTCTGTTGGTTTTCAACAGAACAAGCTCTCCTGAAAATGTAGCAGTGTTCAGGCAAACCATTTACCACTGACAGGGGGGCTAGCACTAATCAGTTTTTTTTTTTTAAATTTATGTAAAACCTTTATCCCTAAAGGAAAAAAAACTGTTGCTGTAAACTGCAATGTGAGCTGAAGACTGGCTTCAGGTTGTTAGTGTATCTAAACCAGCTAGTACATCTAACACTCATCTCCCCTAAGATTAACAATGCTGCTGTCCAAAAGTGCCACTGTGCTCCTTCATCCAGAATGGGGGCGCTCTAATACAGGAGGTGTGTTACTGGCCAGATGACCAGGTAAAAACAGAGAAAAAAGAAATAAAAAAAACTAATGCAGCCACCACATCTAATGACTAGTAAGCTCCAATATATTACATTTTTGGTTTTAATACGGCTTTAAAGTATAACTAAAGGCAAAACTTTTTTTTTTTTTTTTTTTTTTTTTTTTTAGATTGAGTGGAGAGGAATTAGAGCCCATTCATGCTAGTGTGACTTGTCTTGGGACTTTTGGGGTCCAAAGTCACATGACAAGTGGACCCCATTTTTTCAAATGAGTACCATTCGTATCTGTGCAACTTGAGTAGTTCCTGCACTACTTTGGTCCAACTTTCATGTGACTTGAGGCCCATATACTTCAATGTAAACCCCCAAAAACGCATGAAAGTTGTACCTGAATGTTATACATGTGGCTTGTGTGCAACTTTGTACAGCACAAACGATCATCTTTGGTGGAAGTCGCTCTCAACCAAAGTTGCATCACATTGCGTGATTTTGAAGTCGCACAAGTGTGAATGAAGCCTTAGAACACCTGTCAGTTTTTATTGCTGTCTGTGCCCTTGCTGGGGAGATTCACCGTCTGTTTGTCCTGGCTACATTATAATTGGAGAAAATAAAGAAATTTTGGGCTGTCCTCAGAACATAAATAGAGGGGAAACCTTTAATGGGGACACATACTGGTGACAACTAAGAATAAGCTCAGGCACCCCACCTGAGCGGCCAAGCAGTTGTCACTGTACTGGGCAAATCATAAGCAGCTGAATCATGCCTGGCCCTGCAGCCATACATCTACCCTGAGGGAACCCTGAGGAAGTCACGTGTTACCGTGACGCAACGCGTCGGTACGCGAGGAGGATTCTGGGAGCGCGGTGACGTCATTTCCGGCGTGGCGGCCATATTTGAAATCCCTGTATCAAAATACCCATGCAGGAGATTTATAGCATGGGGTATTGAAGGCCTGTGAGAAGACGAATATAAATGTGAGTGGGCAATCTTTTTCATCCGTAAATAAACAGGTTTACACTATGTTAGTCTCTCTTGTTTATATATGAACCGAGGAGCTGACTGCTGATAGAGTATTAGAGGCGAGGCCCTGGTGAGCTATCAAAGAGGTGTCCTGTTTGAAGCGAGCTGACCCTGTGGGGTCGGGGTAAGGAGATGAGAGGCCATCACGGCGAAAGTTTGGAGTTACACAGTGTGGGTCACGTGTGACACATGCATGAAGATTGAAGAAAAATAGTTTTTTGTTGCATTTGGACAATATATTTATTTTTCTGTGGATTTATTTATCAACAGATGGTTGGAGAGATTAAGATTAGCACTAATTTGCACTTTATTTGTAAGAATTGGAATACACGGTTTGCACTTTCTTTTTGTATGCACTATTTTGCACATTAATTTAGTACCTTGTGGTATTATTTGGAGCACTTGTATAATTAGTGTTGCACTTTATATTTATAATTATTTAGTACATTTAGAGATAGCGCAGCACTTTAAATATATATTTATTCATTCACTTTAGTTGGTAAGGAGTGTTGTGTCAGCAGCTTGGTGAATAGGGCCCCATTCCTAGCGCAGGAAGTCCTTGCATTTAGATTTTCATCTCCATATGATTGGCCCTGCTGGATCACTTGGGTGGGTTAGAACTAGGATCTGACACCTGATATCACTTTGAGGGATTTCCTCTAACTTCCTGTTGTGGCTATGGGACAGGAAGTGAAGGGAAACCTTCCCAATGGAGGGCAGATGGGGAAAAAAATAAATAAATAAAAAAAAGGACTGACAGGGGTTATACCGTCCCTAAAGCTTTGTTGACAGTTGCAGCCAAATGGTACTGATGGAGGCATTTGCAGAATATGAAATTAATGGCGGGCCTGCAGGTCTGCTAAAAGGGAGCATATTTCTCGGTGTATTGGGAAAGCGTATGATTTTGTGTGTGTCCGACAAATAAAGATCTGAGCCTAACCGTACTTTATTCATAATGAACGAAAAAAAAAAAAAAAAAAAAAAAAGTGTTGCCTTCAGTTCCCCATTAACCGCTTCCCTACTACCCAATAGCAGATACAGGCATACGAATTCAATTCGTTCTGCAGGACTTTTGAAACGGCGAAAGATTCGCAAACCGAAACGTGGTTTCCCATAGGAATACATTGAAAACCAATTAATCCGTTCCGGAGATCAGAAAAAAGTCTTATCTGTTCAAAAACTTTTAATAAAGTGCACTTTAAAAAGGCATAAATACTGTACAAGGACATGATAAAAAAAAATAATTGGTAAATGCACTGAAAACCAATTAATCCATTCGTATTGCGAAAAAAAAAAAAAAAAAAAAAAAAAAAAAAAAAAAAAAGTAAACCGAGGCATTATTTTCATTCGTAAACCGAAAGTTACGACAAAGGTACACCTGTATGCTGCTACAGGGCGGCAAGACATACAAACACATGTGATTTGCATTTCCCGGTAGGGGGCGCGTGTGCGCGCACTGTCCTACCCGCGCCGCCATTGGCGGTTACAGATGTCGATCAACGGGTCCCAGCCAGAGATTCTCCGCCGGCACCAAGCGACCGCCAAGAAATACACCGAAGAAAAACAGCACACAGTTAACCCCTTGATCACCCCAGATGTTAACTCCTTCCTGCCCAGTGTCATTCGTACAGTGTCAGTGCTTTTTATTAGCACTGATCACTGTATTGGTGTCACTGGGGATGTCAGTGACAGTTAGTCAGTTCTCACGCAGTGTCAGAATGCCCACCACAGTCCCACTATAAGTCGCTGATTGCTGCCATTACTAGTATAAAAAAAAAAATTACAGTATATATACACACACCGCCATTTTTAAACGCTATAAATTTCACGTAAACCAATCAATTTACTTGTATTGGGATTTTTTTTTAGCAAAGACATGTCGCAGAATACATTCTGGACTAAATTTATGCCCAGATTTTTTTTTTTTTTTTTTTATATTTTACTGGAGCACAAAGTAAAAATATTGGGGGGTTTCTCCCCAAAATTGTTGGTCTTTGTTTATTGCGCAAAACAAAAACCAAACAAACCGCAAAGGTGATCAAATATCACCAAAAGAAAGCTGTATTTGTGGGGGGCAAAAAAAAAAGGACATAAATTTGGGTGCAGCGTTGCATGACCGCGCAATTGTCAAAGTAACGCAGCACCTTAACGCATAAAATGGCCTGGTCAGGCAGGGAGGTAAATCCTCTGGAGGCCAAGGGGTTAATTTGATGGGGGAAATGTCAAGGAGAGTATAGAGAAGGGACATTCTATGTGTAAGAGACATCCAGCAGGGATCCCCAGATACACCATGCACTGTACTCCCCCCTGTCACTAGAGGGCCCCCTCACCAGTCAGCCTCATGTAGAGGGGCTGCTCAGCCCGGAAGTCCTGCAGCCGGCTCCCGGTACAATTCCTCTGCTCACATGCGTTCACACAGTCCCGGTACACCGGCTCCCGGTCCCCGCGGGATGCACTCACCACCCCGGCCAGGAGCAGAACAAGGAGCGGTGCCATGACCGGGGGAGCCGGGACTTCCGCCTTCTCGGCCACTGCTTCCGCCCTGTGTCCGCCCGCCAATACCTTCCCTGCGGAAACAGGGCACGCGTTCAATAGTGCCGTCTGTACTCCAGGAGCCAGCAGCGCGAGGACTCGGCGTTCACCTAGAGTCGCCTTCTGTCCTAGCTGACCAGAGTCGCAGTGTCAGGATTGATTTCCACATTCGTCTACTTTACAAATAACCAAGGAGGGAGGCGGGCGTTGTGACTTCTAGCCAATCGCTGAGGCAGGGTTTGCTTTCTAGAACGTCCCATAGGCAGAAAGAAAAAGCAGCTGCAGTGCAGTACCTCCTTTCCACCAGAAGATGTCCTCAGTCACCCAGGTGGAGTATCACTGTACCCTGAAGACTGAGGACACACTGGGAGTGCGGACTGTCAGGGAGCCCGGGATCACACTGATGTGGTGCCGAATTTGCATCATAATTGCACCCCATTCATGAGAACCACTGCGAGTGTGTACTTTAAGTTAACAGCCCAAAATCAGTTTGCAGAACACGGTGTGATTAGGGTTGCCACATCATCCCTTTAAACCCGAGCACATATTAACCACTTCCCGACCGCCCTATAGCAGAAATAGTGCTACAGGGCACCACGGTGCGCAGAATCACATATATATATATATGTGTGTGTGTGATTTTGCATTTCTGGGTGGGGGGGTGTGCGCGAGCCGCAGCTGTCAATCACCGGGTCCCGGAAGGTGATAACTGGCCGGCAACCGGTGATTTCCGAGGATCTCCGACGGGGAGATCTGTTTTGTTTGCTAACAGTTCTCTCTGTCAGCTCCGGCACACTGCGTTGGATGCACAGCACAATACAGCCACAGTGAAGCACACAGACACAGCCCCCTATGTAAAACACTCCCTGCACACAGTTAACCCTTTGATTGCCACTCATGCCCAGTGCCATTAGTACAGTGTCAGTGCATTTTCTTAGCACCGATCACTGTATTGGTGTCACTGGGGATGTCAGTGACACCAAGTCAGTTCCCCCCAGTGACAGAATGCCCACTGCAGTCCTATAAGTCGCTGATCGCCGCCATTACTAGTTAAAAAAAAATTACAGTATATATACCGCCATTTGTAAACGCTGTAGCTTTCACGTAAACCAATTAATTTACACGTATTTGGATTTTTTTTAGCAAAGACGTAGCAGAATACATTTTGGCCTAAATTTATGACGAAATTTTGTTTTTTAAAATTTTTTTACTGGACATGTTTAATAGCAAAAAGTCAAAAATATTTTTTTCTCAAAATTGTCAGTATTTTTTTTTATATAGCGCAAATAATAAAAAACCGCACAGGCGACCAAATACCACCGAAAGAAAGCTCAATTTGTGGGAAAAAAGGGACTTAAATTTCATTTAGGTGCAGCATTGTATGACCGCGCAATTGTCAGTTGAACTCAGCCACGAAGTGGTAGGCCACATAAAATGGCAGAGCGGGGTCAGCACATGCTGAAGCGCACAGTGCACAGAAGTCGCCAACTGTCTGCAGAGTCAATAGCTAAAGACTTCCAAACTTCATGTGGCCTTCAGATTAGCACAACAACAGTGTGTAGAGAGCTTCATGGAATGGGTTTCCATGGCCGAGCAGCTGCATCCAAGCCTTACATTACCAAGTACAATGCAAAGCGTCGGATGCAGTGGTGTAAAGCACGCCACCACTGGATTCTAGAGCGTGGAGACATGTTCTCTGGAGTGACCAATCACTCTTCTCTGTCTGGCAATCTGATGGACGTGTCTGGGTTTGGCAGTTGCCAGTAGAACGGTACTTGCCTGACTGCATTGTGGGTTGTTTTTCAGGGGTTGGGCTTGGCCCCCTAGTTCCAGTGAAGGGAACTCTTAAGGCGTCAGCATACCAAGACATTTTAGACAATTTCATGCTCCTAACTTTGTGGGAATAGTTTGGGGATGGCCCCTTCCTGTTCCAACATGACTGCCCACCAGTGCACAAAGCAAGGTCCATAAGACATGCATGAGCGAGTTTGGGGTAGAGGAACTTGACTGGCCTGCACAGAGTCCTGACCTTAACCTGATAGAACACCTTTGGGATGAATTAGAGTGGAGACTGCAAGCCAGGCCTTCTCCTCCGACATCAGTGCCTGACCTCACAAATGCACTTCTGGAAGAATGGTCATTCCCATAGACACCCTCCTAAACCTTGTGGACAGCCTTCTCAGAAGAATTGAAGCTGTTACACTATGGAAGTGTCTATTTATGTTTTATGATGAGATAATTGGCCACAATTTGCATATCCGCCTGGAGAGGAGGTCTACTACCAGTAAGCCTACACTTGAGGGGAGACCATTGCAGGGAGAGTGACAAGATTCCAGAGGAGTTTCACACATGGAGGATCCAGTGTAGAGATCCTATAAGTGTTTTGGCCCTGTGCAGGTCAAGACAAGGAGGTGAGCGTGCATTGCAGCTAATTTTGGATACCTTCCTGTCACCTGACACACTTATCATCCACCATCACGAGGGGTTTTTCATCTTATAGGAGTATATGGTGTTTTTTCACCACACTGGGCACTTTATTTGTATTTAATGGTTAGCAAACGCATTTTCAGTGTCATGCGTTTTTTCTGTTGGTTTTTGTATGGACATTATGTGATCATTTGTATTTATCATCACACATGCATCTTTTAGGTGCGTTATGTAGTGTTTGCGGTTCACATTGTTTGGAGTATTTGTGTTGATTGGGGGAATTATTTATATGCAGCAAGTGCATTTGGGTTTGTCAGCACTTGAGCACTATTGATGCATTAGTCCAGTGTTTCTCAACTCCAGTCCTCATGGACCCCCAACAGGTCATATTTTCAGGATTTCCCTCAGATGAAACAGCTGTGGTAATTACTAAGGCAGTGAAACTGATCAAATCACCTGTGCAAAATAATGGAAATCCTGAAAACATGACCTGTTGGGGGTCCATGAGGACTGGAGTTGAGAAACACTGCATTAGTCCCATTTGGACTCTTTGTAAGAGGTTTTTTTTCTTTCTTTCCCATCACCTTTAGATCCAATTTAGGATAATTTTGGTCACAATTGATGCACTAGTCCCATTTGGACTTTTCTTGGCACATTAATGACCCATTAGGATCATATTTTACACACAGTTGTGCGAGTGTTGTTGGCACTTTATAGATTTTTATTTTTCATCATTTTTGTTCAACATTTAGGGGTTATTCACTTTATCATTTGACCTCTTTATAAAGGCAGGGCCTGAGAAATGTATCACTTTGCATGTTTTGTTTTTATTTACGTTGTTTATATAAGCTTATGATATGTTGATATATTATTTCTATATGAAGCATCTTATTAATTTGTATTTGTGATTATGCGTTTCACATTTCTCACTACTGGTACCAGCGCTACATCATTTTGCAATATACAGGTCACAGACAGCTTAGAGATCCTATGGGACTTTACTTTGTGAAAGTGCAGCCACATGTTGTGCAGTACAGCCGGCAGTTGTGCAATACAGTTGTTCAGAGCAATCAGAAGCTAAGCAGTGCTCAGGTTGTACAAGTGTTGCAGTTCCGGGGTATCCCAAGCTCTCTATCCCTTTCCAAGTTCATTGTTCCCTATTAAAAAAAAAAAACAAAAAGAAACCCCTAGACTGATCTGTGAACCAGAGGAAGAGGAAGAATTTTCCAATGGCGACACTAGTTCTGGTGACCTGGAGGTCCCCAAGAAATTCCCTTAATTTGCAGGGATTTCCTCTCACTTCCTGTTTTGGCTGTGGGTCAGGAAGTGAAAGTAAATCTCCAAACTGGGACAAAGAGGGCAAAAACAAACTGACAGGGGCCATAACCCCCTACTCTATCCAAAATGAAAAAAAAAAAAGCTTTGTCTATAGTTTTACTTTGAAATAGAACCTGCCATATCCCCACTGTGGAGTGATATACAGAACATTCTATGACAATAGATCACTCATCATTTCCTATATAGTTAGTTATATGGGAAGGATACATTCTTGAGGTGTATTGGGACATACTGTATATAGTGTTCTATAGAAAAACAATCCAACAAAACCAATCCATACACATACACTAGGCGTTTAAAACCCTGAAACATGACGATGCACCAAGTGGTACTTACATTTAGGGCAGTATGCACCCCAGGAAGAAAGCCCACCTCCCTCTACCGCTGACCCACTGCAGCCAGAACGGACAGCTGCTGCACACTAGACCCCTGTGGTTTGGTGTGACAGCCATCCATTGCTGTGTGAACGGGCCCTTAGTGCTTGCTCAGGTCTAGACAGTAGTAACAAGTACAGTATATGGTAGAAAGATAGTCCAGCACAGCACACCCCCTTTGTCTATCCTGCAGCAGCCATTGGAGGGGAGCTGTGATTGGCTGGCTGCATGGATCGCTGGTGGCTGTGTGGAGCCATGATATAAAAGGGAGAAAATGCTTGACTTCAGATGACAGGGCTAGGCTGCATTGCCATAGGAAATTAGGGGGGAACTGGACAGCCTACCTGACCTGGACACCTACCCACAGGCAGCCTCTGTTGGTCCCCCTCCCCCGCTGACCCAATAGGAAGTACTGCCTGTACCCCCCCCATTCAATGGACCTGCTAACTTTTAATATGTAGTATTTGTAGACTGGGGCACAGGGAGGCCTGGAGTATTGGGAGAATGGTCATTACAGATGACCTGTAATGTTGTCCAACTATAATGGTGAATGAACTGAAGTGTAAGTGGACCAAACTGGAGCATAATCTGGAGTATCAGCAGGCCAGACTGGAGGCTGACTTGTAGCAAAGACATTGTTCGTAGATCAGGTTTTACCTCCTCCTGGGGCAACTGCTTGGTGCTGATCCTCAGAGCTTCCAGTGGGGTTTTGGCCTTTGAGCTGTTCATGGTGACCGGCCTTCTCTGAGCCCTGGATTCTGCCTTCTGGTCATTCATCTCCTCCTTCCTGTGATCTCCCTGAATCTGAGCTCCTTTACTGGCTGC